ACCGGGGTGGTATATAAGCCAGGAAAGTTCCCCACAATAGTGGGACCATTCCCCCGCTTACATAATGATAATATCTCTGACGTGCAGTGAGCCCGTGTGAGTTACATCTCTTCAGAATAACTGAACGTCTGTGAGGGTGAGCTGGAGTGGAACCAGTGGGTGCAGATGTGCATTTATTGAATGGGATGTTTATTGATTTAGCCTCTCCTCAGCTACAATATTTTCTTTCGAAGCTCATTGTTCTAAAGTCCCATCATTTGGAAGTTGGCATTTATTCCTCAGGCTGTTTGCATGCTTATTTCCTGGTACACTTGACAGGTCTCATTTCCAGAAATGTAGTGTTCACAGGTTTTAGTCAATTAACAGCTTGCAGGCAACATAACAGCACAGATGTCCACAGATTATTGCACGGTCTCACTTGCTCTAGATATTGAATAGAGCTGATTAAATTAGTTATTACTGTTGCAAGTGAGTGATGAAAGGGCCTAAGAATGTTTGGTATGGAAAAGGCACCATCTCTGGTTGTTCTGTCCAGAAGTAGCTAGTGAGAATAGGGATAGATTGCGGTGAAGAAGAGCTTGACATGCAAGTCTTTGAGATCCTTTTTCACTGTCTGAAGTAGAAGGGTGGGCTGCAGGACAGGGAATAGGTGCTATGGGACAGTGGGTATGTAGAACCTGGGACTAGAATAGTTGAGGTGGGTGGGAAAGTCAGGCTGAAATTGTATTGGTGTAACTGTGTGCAGAAAACTTTTATGTTTACAGCGCAAAGCACAATGGCACCTGATAAACTATTCCTAGGCCAGATGACAATATAAATCAATAAAATAGTACTCAGCCCAGCATTACAAACCCCTCATTTTCATGAGGACCAAGTGGATGAAAACAGTTCAGAAAGAAAAATTAACTCAATAATGGATCGACTGTGGCTCAAATTATGAGGTCTAGTTTGGAGAAAAACTTTGGAGTCTGTAGCAATGCAGATGTCAATGTAAAGTGTAACTATGAATCTAATAACAAATACAGCTGATCTTGTTATCTCCTTTTAATATAATTTGCAGTCATCTTATTCTGTGGCTGCCGCTTAGTCATAACATCATAGATGCCATAAATTTTCCTCTGAATTGAGAAGAGATGGTGGTTAAATGTTAATTTGTTGTCATGCTGTATTGTGTTTCATGTCATCTCAGAAATGTGTGGATAGAATTAAAGATCCACATCTTGTAGATCCCTGATCCCAATGGACATATTGGGGGGAAGGAGAGGGAGAAAAAGATGTGCTCCCTGTGCTACTGCTTTATCAGTACACTTTGACATCTTTTCGTAATCTGGCCAAATCATTACACACACGCCAAAATATATCATGGGTGTGATGGAAAAGGAAAACTTCTTCATCGGGTAGAAGTTTCTAAATCCAGTGAAGCTAGGATTGGTACATTGCACTAAAGGTATCCTAGGCTGAGTCTTAGAGCAAACTACGTGCTTGGGGAGTGTCTAGACTAACATTCACAGTTATGTAAATTAACTCAAGCCATCAATACCAGGATCACAAATTTTTGTCCAGACAAAGCCTTTGTGATCTGTGAAAACTAAATAATTTAAGAGATGCTGGAGATATTACTGTTTCTTTCTGATATTAATCACAATAGAGGCATGGCTTCAGATTATACAGTCTGTTATAGATAGGATTTATGTCAATTAAGCATTTTTGTGGGGACCTGCCTCAACTAGGTCTCTGATCAGACTTTAGAACAACACACACACACACACACACACACACACGACCCTGAGAGTCTGTCCCATATCATATACTGAGCCTAACACTTGCTGGAAAAGAGCTTTGGCTAGTTTGTTGATGCTACATGTGTATCCATGCAGTACAGATAATATCAATTCAAACTCAGAAATATGGATAATACCATCAGGATCTTGGATTAAAATACAGTGATACGTGCTGCTTCAACAGTCATGTCCCAGGTACTGGAGAACAACTGGGAGGAGGAGGAGATGCTAGTCACCATGTTAGCTTTAATTAATTTGGTGCTTTCTAAGTAAAATGAAGTTGTTCAGTAATGATCGACTTTGACTCATTTGGTCCCTTTAATATATATCTAATAATTTGAATCTCACTGAATCAAAAATCAGGTAATGAAATTAAATATGGAGACATTAGTGATACATCCAGGCTATAGAGAGCTCCACAAATCACAGCACAAATCAGTCTAAACATCTGTTCCTTCACTGAAATATATCTTTTGTGTTCTCTAGTCTAGTCAAGTCTAATTTAAGAGCTTCCATGAATCAAAGACCCATTAGGGGTTGGTGATCTGCAGCGAGTTACCTAATCCACTTCTTAGGCATCGTAGCACAACTCGGGGCTTGCAGTGGAGGTGTGAACTAAATCACACAGTAACACAAATCAGAGGAGTAGCCATGTTAGTCTGGATCTGCAAAAGCAACAAGGAGTCCTGTGGCACCTTATAGACTAACAGATGTATTGGAGCACAAGCTTTCGTGGGCAAAGACCGACTTCGTCAGATGCATGTAGTGGAAATTTCCAGAGGCAGGTATAAATATGCAAGCCAGAATAAGACGAGTCACTAACTCGAGTCACTGTAGCTCCTCGATATGGATGCTGCAGGTGCTTTACATTAGTGCAGTCCTGTTTGAAGACTGCGATAGTCATGCAAACTAGACAGCTTGAGCTTGTGCCTGCAACGTCTGGCAGTCCAGGAGGTGCTTTGTAGTCCAAGCTGTGGAGCCACAAAAACAGTTCTCACTAACCCGTGGCTGCACAATCTCAGGAGTGAATATCTCCAGTCATGGCAATTAAGCAATCTTCCTCCATTGCCCTTAAGATGACTTGAATTCTAAACTGTTCAGGAAGGTTCCTTGTTGTTGCTGCTGCTGCCTGTTACTTCTCATTCTGTTCTGGCTGATTAGGGTTGGTAACTGACCCTGTGTCTCTTTCTAACAGCCTGATCTCCTGGATGGCTGGGAAAGGATTCAGTATAACAGAACTGAACATCATTACAGCACAATTCACATTGCAGACACTGGTTTGAGATTTCCAAACCACTGCAGATCATAACACATTAATTATTCTTCCTCCTCACATGCCTTTACATGCTCTCCATGGATGTGCTCCATCTTACCGCTTCACCATGTGTCTCCTGCCCCTTCTCTCCATTTCCTCTACTTGCCTAACTTTTGTTCCTCTGTACACCCTCAACATGGTTTACCCAACGGTCTCCTCTGCAGCTCTTGCTGTCAAGAACATTATTCCAGCATTTCCACAGTACCACCCATCATAATGTAAAGTTTTACCAAGCCAATGCTACAGTCACCAGAAGGTAGCTGATATCAGTGTTGCCTGTGGACATCCAGTGGTCATCATTCATGACAGCTCTGAAGATAGTTAATCATTGCATATTCAGTACGGCTGTGTCTACACTGCACCCCTTTTCCGGAAAAGGGATGCAGATGAGACAAGTCAGAATTGCAAATGAAGCGGGGGATTTAAATATTCTCCGCTTCATTTGTATAAACATGGCTGCCACGTTTTTCTGGCTCAGGGCTTTGCCGGAAAAAAGCGCCAGTCTAGACAGGGATCTTTCAGAAAATAAAGCCTATTCTGAAAGGTCCCTTATTCCTCTTAAAATCAGGAATAAGGGACCTTTTGGAAAAGGCTTTATTTTCCGAAAGATCCCGTCTAGACAGGCGCTTTTTTCCGGCAAAGCCCTGAGCCAGAAAAACGCGGCAGCCATGTTTATACAAATGAAGCGGAGAATATTTAAATCCCCCGCTTCATTTGCAATTCTGACTTGTCTCATCTGCATCCCTTTTCCGGAAAAGGGGTGCAGTGTAGACACAGCCGTACTGAATATGCAATGATTAACTATCTTCAGACATAATTTCTGGTTAACTTACTCGGCACTAACGTGGGTACAGAATCTGAAAGAGTATGCAGGGAGGGACAGATTCACAAAGAAATTATGGAAATGTGACACCTTATTCATTTGGTATACTGGTTTCATCTCTCCCTGTCTAATTTTAAGAAAAATTCCCCCCATTGCATTATTTCCTGATATTTCCAACACAGAGTATCAGTTGATAGATGCACTTTTAAAAAGAGCAGACCTAAATGTGGATGAATGTATTCTAGTGAAAGATGTTGGACGGATGGATGGCCCTTGAGACTGCATAACAAAACCACTGCAAGCTTCCCCAACTTTGTATTCACTCTGGGTATGTCTACACTAGCCCCCTAGATCTATCTAGGGAAGCTAATGAGGTCAACTGAAATTGCAAATGAAGCATGTTCTCGGCCGGTCGCCATTTTAGAAATTGACTAGCCCGAAGTAACTGCCCGCGTCTACACGCAGCAGTGAAATGGGATTCCGAAATAAAGCCCTAAATCAAATTAGCTGTTAAACCTCATTCCAGGAGGAATACCAGTTAATTCGATTTAGGGCTTTATTTCAGAATCCCGTTTTACTGCCACGTGTAGACATGCGCAGTTACTTCGGGCTAGTCAATTTCTAAAATGGCGACCAGCCGGGAACATGCAAATCAAGTGCGGGATATTTAAATCCCGTGCTTCATTTGCAATTTCGGTTGCCCTCATTAGCCTCCCTAGATCGATCTAGGGGGTTAGTGTAGACATACCCTCTGACCTAGAGGGAGCTCATGGATTTGGTCTCCATGGCCCAGTCAATGAAAGCTGCCAACAAGAGGTCCAATTAGTGGCAGATTTGGAGGTGTTGTTCTTTCCTACATGAACACTGGAGCTAAACTGATACACCTAACACATTTTATATAGGCCACTGAATAACTGCAGGGTGGTATGCCAGCCACACTGTTGACCTGGAACAGTAATGGATGGGAACTGCAACCGTGTCACTAGCTCATTTTGTTATTCTTCATTATATGAAGTTTTAGTCCTTCCTGCTTTTCTTTGTCTCTGATTGTCAGTATCTATCTTGTCTTCTCTCTTCTCAGGTATACCAATGCTGTTTGTTGTCCTCTGGGGAATAGTCAAGTACCTTTATGAAGATGAGGGGTTGGTTCAGTTCTAATATATAGCTGATACTTCATTTGTGGAGTGTGTGTGTGTGTGTTGCGGAGTCATTTTTGGTTTGGGTTGATTGCTTTGGCGCAATGGCTGATGTGCTGAAGTCTCATGTAGTTGCTTGTGTTGTGTCTAAAGCTCTTGCATAACATTTCTGAAAGGCGCACAAGCTCATTCCTGGTCAGAATTTTCAGTATGTCTAAGTTTATCTGTTCCTCTACAGGTCAAAGAAAGGTTTTTCAGAAGCTGCAGTATCCACTGTAGAGGTCATCATACCTGATCAGACTATCTTTGATAGCCTGCCACTGGCAGTAATCTTTCCAGGATGCTTCAGAGGAAGGCAAAAACCTCCCACAATATTCTGTTTGTTACTCCTTCCTGACCCCAGCAATGATCAGCTTATGCCTTGCAGCAGAGATCTGATTATCCATTCTTATCTTAGCTTCCATTTATAAAATACAAATATAAAATGCTGCAGAGAATTGCACAGGTTGACTATATTGCATCAGGGATCATAGAATCCTAGGACTGGAAGAGACCTCAGGAGTCATTGAATCCAACCCTCTGCCCAAAGTAGGCTCAACCCCAACTAAATCATCCCAGCCAGGGCTTTGTCAAGCCAAGACTTAAAAACCTCTAGGGATGGAAATTCCACCACCTCCCTAGGTAACCCATTCCAGTGTTTCACTACCCTCCTAGGGAAATAGTTTTTCCTAATATTCAACCTAGACCTCTCCCACTGTAACTTGAGCCCATTGCTCCTTGTTCTGCCATCCATCATACTGAGAAGAGCCTCTCTCCATCCTCTTTGGAACCTCCCTTCGGGAAATTGAAGGCTGCTGTCTAATCCCCCCCCCCACCACCACCTCTTCTCTTCTCTTCTCTTCTCTTCTCTTCTCTTCTCTTCTCTTCTCTTCTCTTCTCTTCTCCAGACTAAACAAACCCAAATCCCTCAGCCTCTCCTCACAGGTCATGCGCTCCAGCCCTCTAACTCCTTTTGGTTGCCCTCCGCTGGACCCTCTCCAATGCATCCACATCCTTTCTATAGTGGGGGGCCCAGAACTGGACACAGTACTCCAGATATAAAGGGTTAACCACTTACTTGGTTAGCTGCACCTGCTAAGGGTGATGCTTACTGGGTAAGCAATTAACCAGCAGCAAGGCCGACCTGGAGCAGCTCTCCACCCAATGTGGGCATGGGGCTGCTCCAGCTTGGCTGGACCCACTGTGACGGGTTCCTAGTTAGCCAGTTAAACTTTTAAAGTGTTAACTTTTTTAAACAGGATTTTACATCCGTCCATTGCATAGGGATATGCTGTAGAACTGCAGCGGCTGACTTGAAAAATCAGTGGCATCACTTAATTTTACCAAAGATTGTTTCTGGCATCAGGCTAGTTAGCAGCTTTCCTCTAATAGGAACGGTCAGGGAAATAACACAGTACAGGGACCATGTCCTTTATTCTGATAAACAATTCTATGCTATTTATTTTATATTCTGTTTTTCATCCACTGAGTACTTTTGCCACGCAGTGGTCACACCCCACTGGCACTTTCCTAGAAAAACTGACTATAGTCCTTTGCTAAACAGGTAGCAATATGGTGTGAAATGCACTGTAGTTGGACACAACATTGTGTCAACTCTCCCCTTCACTGAATTCAAGGGATGGGATATCAGGAGTGTGTTTTTATTTGTCTTTCATAATGTGAAATGGTTTCCTCTAACTCTCTTTCCCCAGGCCAAAATAATCCTAGGCTACGTCTACACTGGCCCCTTTTCCGGAAGGGGCATGTAAATTTCACCAGTCGTCGTAGGGAAATCCGCGGGGGATTTAAATATCCCCCGCGGCATTTAAATAAAAATACTTTGAAATAGGAATAAGACCCTCCGGAAAAGGGCACTTTTTCCGGAGGATCAGGGCCAGTCTAGACGCTCTTTTCCGGCTTTTTTAAAAGCCGGAAAAAAGCGGCGGACATTTTTATTTAAATGCCGCGGGGGATATTTAAATCCCCCACGCATTTCCCTACCGGAAAAGGGCGCTTTTTCCGGAGGATCGGGGCCAGTGTAGACGCTCTTTTCCGGCTTTTTTAAAAGCCGGAAAAAAGCGGCGGACATTTTTATTTAAATGCCGCGGGGGATATTTAAATCCCCCGCGGATTTCCCTACGACGACTGGTGAAATTTACATGCCCCTTCCGGAAAAGGGGCCAGTGTAGACGTAGCCCTAGAGTTTTCTTATTACTCTCCAGGGCAGTCTCAGCTGTATTCTGTAACAAGACTTTTGCTGCAAATTTTATCCAGATGATCAGTATTGGGAATGTAAGCAAGTAGTCAACTACTCGCATTTACACCACCCCACCCCCTTTTGCTGCCTCTATATTGGAGGAAGCAAGGGGGTGGGAAAGCAGGAGCTGCTGCTGGAGGGAGCTGTCTTACAAGCTGGTTCCCCCAGCACCATCTCTGTGAGGCCATCTGCCCCTGACCCTGCACTGCTGCCTCTAAGCCCCTGCTGCGGGGGGGAGGGGCTTAACAGCCCCTGTCCACAGTGGCCCAGACTGGCCATGAACAGAACCTGCTCGGGCAGCAGCCCCTGTCCACGATGGGTCCCAGCTCCACACTGGGACCCCTGCAGACGGGTTGCTTGACCTGGTGTGAGCTGGGACTAAGCAAGCCTAGCACTGTCCCGGCTCACACTGGGTCTGGGACCTACACCCCGCTGCGGCTCTGCATTTTAAGTGTAGTAAGAGTTGGGTGGGCAGGGTGCCTGGCTCTTACAACATTTAAACTGCAGAGCTACGGCTGGGGTAGCTCCCAGACCTGGCATGAGCCAGGACAGAGTGCCTTCCCTTATTGACTAATCATGTAGTCAATAAAAATGTTATTGATTACCCCAGTGGTTCCCAACCTTTTTTATACCCTGGATCGGCAAACCCGTTCACACACTTATGGCAGACTGGTAACGTTTTATTTGCATGTTTGCATATTCATTGTGTAAATAATGAATATGCAAATAAAATGTTATGGGTCCACCAAAATATGTACCCCACCCCAGCCCTCAGAGCGACCTCAAACAGCTAGCTTCAGCTCCGGGTTAGCTCCGCGGACTAGCAGTTGGGAACCACTGGACTATACGATTACTCAAATACCCGCTTCTTAACGAGCCTCTTCCATAGAGCTTTAAAGAACTTGTGCAGCCAGCACTCCACAGGCCTATCTTTCCCTTGGTGTGGAAAATGTATTCAGAGTTCTCCCTGAACCTTCTGCATTCTGCAATGATCAGAGCTGACTTATGATTTCTATTAAGGAAAACTGTTGCTTGCTGCCTTCAGCAGACCCTACAAGGGGCAATTTTGCATCTTATTAGGTTTTCTAAACCTTGTATAAATATTTGTAAAATACTGTAATAAATCACCTTGTGCAGCCTCCTCTCTGAAAGGCAGGATTTCTATGCCTTGGGCCGCAGGGTGACATTTGTTAGTGTGTCTAGGGATCTCTTTAATGCCATTTGCTATAGTGCTGCTGCTGTGGATGTGCAAAAGGCTGTAAATTTCATTTGTGACTCAACTATCTCCCTAGTTATAAGGCAGAACTAGAAATAAATAAGGTCAGGGCTACAATGGCTCAATATTCCAGGCAATCCTGTGAATGTAACCATTCAGAAAAAAAGGATTGTAGCCTGCAAGGACAGGAAGTCTACTTGCAAACTGCCTCCTTCCTGCCTGACCAGGATTGCCACAGCTGTGGATAAAACTGTGATGTTCCTAGGCCTAAAAAGTGCCATTCATTAAAAAAAAAATGAGCTATTAAAAGAAGACCTGAATTAAAGATTTTTTTTAAAAATCGATCTCTGTTGTGGGTCCAACTTTTTTTAGGTGGAATTGAAGACAAGTTATGTTTCTTAATTGTAGGAATGTACCCACCAATCTGGTACTTTTACCATCCCACAATCCATCAGTTAATTGCAATGCAAAATGCAGGGACTGGGTTGCAGCTCTTTAAAAAAATCAGGCTGTTCAGTTGCACCAAACCAAGACCGAAGTGCACAGAAGGGTTTTTTTGTTTTGTTTTGTTAAGGAATACAAAAGCAGAGTTTTTACAGCAATATTTGTTTAGTTGGATCACTTCCCTACTCGGGCCTAAACATGATCTAAGAAGTGGTGAGCATACTCAGTTGCCAGTGAATATGTTCAAGTCACAATGGATGTTGAGGTTTTTATTACGGTTAGAACTCCCAAAAGTACAAATAGACAAGAAATCACGTACAGATGTCAGTTCTATTTTCAGAACACTTTAATTGTGCTGGTACTTTAATTGCATTGTAATAGTGTTTTTATTGCATGAATTTGTATACATTTTTAAATAGTTAAAGCTGATCCATGCTGTGAAATCCAATTAATGCACGTATAAATGTAGCAGAATTAATGTAAAGAACCATTCCTCCACCTCTGTCATTACCAGGAACTTTTGAAATTGTCTTTACTTCCACTGCAGCTACTCAGAAAAATTAATAGGCCACGCTGGAAGCAGAGTTTTCTCTAGCATGTGTCAATAGTATCCACATAAAATTAATTTCAAAGGCTACACGAAGATGGTTCCTGGTCATGCATGCCAGTGAAGTGGTTCTTTTGTTGACCCCTGCTAGACAGGGACATTTATGATGTTATAAACTTAGCTGCTTCACTTTTCAATGTGGTATTTTGAAATGTCTCCATTACTGTCATGTCTAGGTGCAACTGTATGTAGTATAGTTTGCTAGAGTATCCTGAGTTAAAGGTGAAACTAGCTTTCCCCTCACAAATCTTCTTTTCTTACCCCCACAAATACCACCCAAAATGTAATTGGCATGTTCTTATGCCACTGATAAGGGAAGAGTAAGAGCAGGGCGAGTAAGATGCTTGTCGTTTTTTGGCAGATGAGACTTGAAAAAAATCAAGTGTAATTAATCTGTTGGGAATTCTTTCTATACCCTTTGACTTGTCTTATCTCAATTGTGTGGTATAGAAATACCATCTTTTAATCTGCTGGGCTTAATAAGAACTGGTGACTTTGAATAACGTTGAATGGTTTGATAGGAGATTATTAAAGTTATTAACTTCTATTTATACATGTTAGGAACCTTGCATGCTGCTTGCTCATAATTTTCTCTTTCAAATTTTGTTGGGACTGAAACCTACATACATACCAAAAGAAACAGCTAGTCCCTTGTCCCTGATCTCCATTAAATAGCCCAAGTGGGAGTCCGTGAACAGGTCTTTATATTAGTACTGCCAAGAAGGAAAGTGAGAGAGATGCTGGAAATCTGACCAAAGCAATGCAGTTTGCTTCTATAGGATATTCAGAAAAGTCAAGTAACAAGAAGAGTTGATGTTGGTGCTTTTAAGATTAATTTTAAAAAAGGATTGTATGGAAGGATTAGGGTAGCTACCATGCAGTTAAAATATTTGATGTCAGACAGAGGACATATTTGGACTGAAGATATAATGTTGTAAATCTTCAAAACTATAGAAAATTATGTAGAGAGGGAGTTAGTCATCAGAGTGCAAGAGAGATAGGCTAATTGCCAGAGATAGGCCCGTTGGATGCTGCAATATACTGTGAGGCATTCAAATGTTTGTAAGAGCCACAAGTAGCTGCATGTGTTTCCATATCAGCATGATGTGCTTTTCTGGTATCGAGTTCACATCCTCTGCATTACTGAGACATGTGATGAGAGAGGAACTGTATGCATATTCTTAGCTTTTTGATTTGTGTTTCACCTTCCTGCTGCCTCCCCAGCTGCTGGACCAGAAACCATAACATGAACTATTGGCTGATCATCAGACTGCCCATTCTAATCGCCATTGGGGTGAGTGATCAGGAGCAGATGCAGGGATTCAGCATACCTGGAATGAGATCAGTGCTGGAGGGATATGCTTGCTAACAAAGCTCTGCTCTTCACATCTAACAATGGGGAGAAAACTACAAAGGGAGTCTGGGGAAGAGACCAGAAACCATAACATGAACTATTGGCTGATCATCAGACTGCCCATTCTAATCGCCATTGGGGTGAGTGATCAGGAGCAGATGCAGGGATTCAGCATACCTGGAATGAGATCAGTGCTGGAGGGATATGCTTGCTAACAAAGCTCTGCTCTTCACATCTAACAATGGGGAGAAAACTACAAAGGGAGTCTGGGGAAGAACACTAAGGGTGTGTCTAGACTACATGCCTCCTTCGACGGAGGCATGTAGATTAGCCAGATCGGAAGCTTCATTTCCCTTTTCCGATCTGGCTAATCTACATGCCTCCGTCGAAGGAGGCATGTAGTCTAGACACACCCTAACAGATTGCATGGTGGATGAGTTAATAGGCAATACAGAATGGGAGAGTCAGTATGAAAGATGTAGTGGTGATGCCCATTGGCTACTGTCGTATAGGAAAACTGGGGAGTTCCTGGTCCCACTTGAGCTTAGGAACATGATTGTGCAAAACTGATTCTGTTTCTGGCAAGGAAACACCCAAATGATGTTATGCTACTTTAATCTGGCCGCCTGCTGCAAGTACTGTCACGCTGAGCTTGTGAAATATACATTAGAAAATCATTAGACTCGTATTCAGTGTTCCTCATTAACTTGAACTGGTATAAATATAGAGGGGGGCTTCAACGTACCCCAGCATAGTGGCATTAAATTCTTCAGCAAGAGGGACTTTTCTGCAAAAACTACAGTGACTTTTCAGGCTCTACTACCCTGCTACATCTGCGAGTCTTTAAAGTGCCACCAGACTCCTTGTTGTTTTTGCTGAAAAAAACGAACACAGCTATCTCCCTGGAAAGTGACTTTTCTGTCAGCACAAAATACCCCTCCATTCCCATCTCCCCTCTCTCACCCAAACACAGGCAGTTATGGTTATGATGTTAAGTATGTTGCTGATGATTTTCTTACAATTGTTATTGCCAAAGATGGGTTTTTGTTTGTTTTTTGTGATGCTCGGTAGGTATCTCAGTCAAGTTCCCTGGCTTTCCATGGCATGGGCTAAGTGATGCATCCCAGAACATTCTTCTCCTCGTGTCCCAAGGAAAAGAGGGGGGGATTTTGTAGCAGCTTCACCAGTTCATTCCCTTTTACCCTGAGCATCAGCTAATGCACTATTCTCCAAGCAGACTAGCTGACTTAGTCTACCCTTCCAGCTCCACCAGTTCTCTGGGTACAAGCTGGACTCTTGCTGTAACTCCCCAACCAATGCTGCCTGAGTCCATGGAACAGAGCAGGGAACATTCAGTAATCCAATTAACTCACTCCTTTGAGGAAAGCTAGAGAGCAAAAAGCAGCTGCAGGTAGGTCTTGGCAGGGAAGTAGAAAACCCAGTGCCAGGCACGTGGCTACAGCAAAATGACAAATTCCATGCTATGCCAGAAAAATGCTCGATTTTGAAGACCACGGGGCACAGAGTCTCAACAGGACAGTTTATACCACTTAGAACTCCTGATTCCAGCAGTCTGCAGCCTCACACAGCATCGTTTTTTTTATTTATGCTCAGTTTACATATTAGAGATGAACTATCCGATTGATTCTGGGGCATGATTCTGGAGCAAGAGCTGAATCCCACTTCTGTAGCTGCAGCACTGTGGAATATATGGCTCTATCTATAGAGACCTTGGCACATGCAATGTATATTCTTCCATATGTCTTATCTTGCACATACACTTCCTGACGATAATGTCAGCTGCTTTTTTCTTTTCTCCAGGTGAATTTCCTGATATTTATCAGAGTTATATGCATCATCATTTCCAAGCTACAATCAAACCTGATGTGCAAAACTGACACAAAATGCAGGTAAGTTATTTGGTGAGCTGGAATATTCTGTGCTTTCTGAAAAAGGACACATGAGCATGAGTTGACTGCATAGGAGATTAAAGATTTCAGGTACTGTGTGGTAGGTAGGAGGCATTGCACATCATTATGGTAGTCTACAACTGACCACCACTGGTAGGTGCAGATCTTATGGGAAATCTGCTCTATCAGTGCCTTTATTGTACCCACTCCATGAATAAACCGAGGTCTTGGTCTTCTGGGGCTGTCAATATAGAATTAGGCAATTATTTTTAAGAAATATAGACAGAGAAAATCTCTGAGGTCCATGTTTCCATCATTGCTCTTACTTCCTCTCTCCACTAGTCGCTGTGCCTTCTTATTGTGACCTTTGTGTCCTCAGTTTTCTGAGCATATTTCTGACTTTTTGGCTGGTATAGTATATGAGGCTTACTGCATGAATATATTTTACCTTCCAAACTTCTTTGCACACGGACTATTTGTGGCTCACCTGGACGGCTATTTATCCCATCAACATTCATGGGCATATTCTTCATCCCTTGGTTTCTGTGTCTTTGGGGCTTTAAGATCCTTCCCCCCAGATTAATGCGGGGAGGCCCATAAACTTGTCCCACTGATGATATGCATATCATGACACTGAATGAGTGCATGACAGTTTAGGTCATTCCTTGTGACCTACTGTTGTCATGTTTTGCTGGAATATTATGTTTTGATGCAGCATGATGACATATATTGAGGGGCTCAGAACAAATATGGGACATAGCCTCTCACTAATCTAGATTTGCCTTGCAATGTCCCATACACCTTATTTGTAAGATCCCTCAACTCCACTTAGAGGGGACTCTCCAAATGTTGTGCGTGGCTACATCTAGGACCAAGAGAACATTAAAGACCTTGTCATTTCTAATCACATCTTGTTCTCTGTGCTACAGTGGACTAAGGATGTTAAAATGCAATTATTTGGCTAATCGTATTGTCGATGCAATTTGTATTGACTATACAGTTGGTCAATAAGCGCTGCTATGCAGAGCCACAGCGGAGGTAGCTCCGGAGCCACCCATGCTGCTGCTCTGCATTTTAAATGTAGTAAGAGCTGCTGGGTTCTTACTACATTTAAAATGTGGAGGTGCAGCGATCAGCGCAAGGCAGGACTGCTCAGTCCCAGCTCACGCTGAGCCCAGCAGCCCAGTTGCAGAGGACATTCTTGACACCGTGAACAGGCGCTGATGCTGGACCAGCCCCTGTTCACGGTGGCCAACCCTGACTGCCTCAAACAGGGGATGGTGCTGAAGCAGTCTTTGTTCACGGGGGCCACCATGGCCACCACAAACAAAGACTGCTCCAGCACCATCTGCTGTCTGTGGCAGCCAGGGCTGGCTACGACAGGAGGCTGCTTTGTTCTTTATAGCTGTTGGTAGTTTAAATACACCAAGCTAGGTGCTCCATATTTCCCACAAGAGTTTCCCTCCTCCGTTTGTGAGATCGCGTAGCTGAGTTAGAGCCATGTTGGGACTCCCATCTGAACCCATTAGTACCACTGATAGTCAGCCAGAAGGGCTGTCCACAGCCACACTAGGTGCCTCTCTGTTTCCCCCATGGGAATCCCCAGAGAAAGCTGAGCCTCTGCCATATGAGGAAGCAGAGCTCTAATTGCAAGGCAAGTGGGGGCTGCTAAAAGATTTCCTTTTTAAACACCCAACATGCACCCCAATCAGCTATTCCATGGAATCCTCTGCTTAGGTCCACTGGAGAGCCTGCCTCTCCCACTGGCCTTTAAGTGCACAGCGACATAGACAGCTGTTTGGGTTCTCCAGCCTTCTCTGCCTATATACCACTGTTAACAGACAACATCCAGGGTACCAGGTTAGAAAGCAGGCTGCATTGGAACCTACATTCAATAGACTTTGAGAGCCCATTGGCGCCTCTGCTTCTTGTTTGCTGGAGGAAAAAGCTGGAGCTTTTTTTTAGTCTTCAAATTACAACTTCTTGTGAGATGCTGATAACATGTGTGCAAGCTCTCTAGCCCCAGGCAGCCTAGGAACTAACTCCCATCTTAGGGTTCAAGACATCTTTCATTACCAGATTGGGTTGTTCATTGCCTTTCCATCCCTATCAGTGTTAAGAACCATTGCTTCTGGCTATTATCTTTGAAATTGGCTATTATCTTTGAAAAGTCGTGGAGATTGGGAGAAATACCGGATGATTGGAAAAAGGCAAATGTAGTGCCCATCTTCAAAATAGGGAAGAAGGATGATCCAGGGAACTATAGGCCGGTCAGTCTTACCTCAGTTCCTGAAAAAATCATGGAAGGGATCCTTAAGGAATCCATTTTGAGGCACTTGGATGAGAGGAAAGTGATTAGGAATAGTCAGCATGGATTCACAAAGGACAAGTCGTGCCTGACCAATCTGATTAGCTTCTATGATGAGGTAACTGGCTCGGTGGACATGGGAAAGTCAGTGGATGTTATATACCTTGACTTTAGCAAGGCTTTTGATACGGTCTCCCACAATATTCTTGCCAGCAAGTTAAGGAAATGTGGATTGGATAAATGGATGGTAAAATGGATAGAAAGATGGCTAGAAGGCACGGCCCAGCGCGTAGTGATCAACGGCTCGATGTCAGGGTGGCTGTCGGGTTCTAGCGGAGTGCCCCAAGGTTCGGTTCTAGGACCGGTTTTGTTCAATATCTTTATTAATGATCTGGGTGAGGGGATGGATTGCACCCTCAGCAAGTTTGTGGATGACACTAAGCTGGGGGGAGAGGTAGATACGCTTAAGGGCAGAGATAGGGTCCAGAGTGACTTAGACAAATTGGAGGATTGGGGCACAAGAAATCTGATGAGGTTCAACAAGGACAAGTCTAGAGTCCTGCACTTGGGACGGAAGAATCCCAAGCATAGTTACAACCTGGGGACCAACCAGTTAAGTAGTAGTTCTACAGAAAAGGACCTGGGGGTTACAGTGGATGAGAAGCTGGATATGAGTCAACAGTGTGCCCTTGGGGACGAGAAGGCTAATGGCATATTAGGTTGCATTAAGAGGAGCATTGCCAGCCGATCCAGAGATGTCATTATTCCCCTTTATTTGGCTTTGGTGAGGCCGCATCTGGAGTATTGTGTCCAGTTCTGGGCCCCCCACTACAAAAAGGATGTGGACGCATTGGAGAGGGTCCAGCGGAGGGCAACCAAAATGATTAGGGGGCTGGAGCATATGACTTATGAGGAGAGGCTGAGGGACTTGGGTCTGGTTAGTCTGCAGAAGCGCAGAGTGAGGGGGGATTTGCTAGCAGCCTTCAACTTCCTGAAGGGAGGTTCCAAAGAGGATGGTGAAAGGCTGTTCTCAGTAGTGACAGATGGCAGAATAAGGAGCAATGGTCTCAAATTGTGGTGGGAGAGGTCCAGGTTGGATATTAGGAAAAACTATTTCACTAGGAGGGCGGTAAAGCACTGGAATGGGTTACCTAGGGAAGTAGTGGAGTCTCCATCCCTAGAGGTGTTTAGTCTCGGCTTGACAAAGCCCTGGCCAGGTTGATTTAGTTGGACTTGGTCCTGCCTAGAGCAGGGGGCTGGACTTGATGACCTTCTGAGGTCTCTTCCAGTTCTATGATTCTATGATTCCTGTGTGTTAATAATAACCCACTGTTCTTCCACTGGGAGATGTTTTCCTTAGGTTTTTCCCTCATGACGCAGTTGTAGCCTTTGGACCTTGCCTTGTAAATACCAGCAATTATTCCCTTTTTCTTCAAATTCATGTCTCTCATTTTGCAAAGCTCAGTGACTAACAGGTTAGATTAGCAAGAGTGCTTTGAAGATGTAATGTGCTATGTAAGTGCTAAGAAATACTAAATAATCCTTTGGCCTTTGCTGGTGCTTTCAGTCTAGTAATATCAAAGCACTGTATTGTCAGCACTCCTCTTTTTATAATAATCTGCATGTCTTTAGTGCCTTTGAGCTAAGTCTCAATGTGCTTTACAAACATTATTGAATTAACCCTCACAATCCCATATGTCATGTGGAAACATTATCTCCATTCTGTAGATGGGGAAACTGAGGCACACTGTGTGTGTAGCTTGGGGGGGGGGGGAGAACTTTCCTGAGACTATCTATTGACTCTGCATTAGAAACAGAACTGAGGAGTCCTGACTCCCAGATTTCTATGCTACATCAATAGCCACTATACTGTGCTATGGCTTCCCTTTCTTCATTGCTTTAGGTTGGCTAAGTCTACACTGACTCTGATCCCGCTGCTGGGAACCCATGAGGTCATTTTTGCCTTTGTTACCGATGAGCATGCCAGAGGAATGCTACGCATTGTGAAGCTCTTTTGTGAACTCTCCTTCACCTCCTTCCAGGTAACACCCAGGAAACACACATTCAGCTCAGGGAATATGTTACATGCTGCCGGAGGCCAGATTGCCTTTCAGGGAAGGTTCGCTATACTTATCTAATTCAGCTCTGGATGTAAGAAGGTTATGAGCCTCAGAGAAGCAGGGTAGCCAGAGGGCCAGAGTCCCATTTCTGGTATGCCACACGCTCTCCGCAGTGTCCAGTAGTGACCTCGCCCTTGTATCTGTATGTTAATTTGTTTTATATTCGATACCTAAAACCAGGAAATTGTCCATGGTCTCCCGGGAAAGTGTAATGGAGTCATCCAGGGTGAAGTATATGCCTGCTATGATGCCTTTTTGGAGATGTGACCTTTGAAAGGCACAACTGTAGGCCTATTCTGGTACATGGAGGTAACTAAGCCGTATGGATGGAAAGGATGTGAGTAATACTGTAGTGAGTCCTTTTCGTCTGTCTCGTGTGATCACTTGGTAGGAATTTCCCTGTGTGGTGCTGGGTGGGAAACCATGATTTTTCTAAACTTCCTGCCACCTACAGCCTACATTTCAGTGCCCACGTGAATTGCTGATATGTGGATTGCTGATATATAGCCTGTGGTCAGTGAAAGGGGACAGTTTTAAGAAGCAAGGATTGGGGGAACCTTAGAAATGTGCTTGTCCTGTGGGAGCGGTTTGGGGCCATCCAGATTTTTCTCAGCAGAAAGGAATGAGCACTCATAGGCTTTTCTGTTTCTTGCTCTAACTATGGAGTGTTCCCTTTCAGAATGAGAGAGTCTCCTCCCCCTGCAGGTTTCACTAGCAAAACTTGGAACGTATCGGGGCTGTTTTTCTGACTACTGTTCTGTTGTCTGGTTGGATTTCAGGGACTGATGGTGGCAATTCTCTACTGCTTCATCAACAATGAGGTAAGAAGCACCAAAGCAGTTCCATCTTGCAATATTAGCCTCCATTGCAGAAAAAAGAAATAAAAAATGGGCGTGAACTATTAATTGTATCAGTTCAGGTGTGTTCAAAGGCTCCTGCATAAACTAATGGTCCACTAGAGAAAATTAGAGGGTGATTTCTCATTACACACACCATGGGGAAAAAATTAGGCTGCATAACTCTGAGGTAGTAGTTGTGGGCAGTGTCTTGCGAGTTTCCTTGATGCAACCTTATTATAGATTCATAGATGCCAAAGGCAAAAGGGACCATTATGATCATCTAGTATGAACTCCCGTATAGGCATAAGCCACGGAACTGCCCCTAAAACAATTCTAGCGCAGATCTTTTAGAAAAACATCCACTCTTGATTTAAAAATTGTCAGTGATGGAGAATCCACCACAACTCCTGGTAAATTGTTTCAGCGGTTAATTTCAGTGACTGTTAAAAATGTATGCCTTATTTCCTGTCTGAATTTGTCTAGCTTCAGCTGCCAGCCATTTGATTGTGTAATACTTCTTCTTTGAAGAGTGTCCCTGTGGGTGCTTCACCGTAGGTCTTTGGGGTGCTGCTGTGTGCCTAGTCAGAGATTTTTGGTAGCAGTGCCCTCCAACAGGCTGCGCACATGAGGCAGACAGCACTCGTGGTGCCAGTACCACACATGCGCAGCAACCGTTCCTTCAGTTCCTTCTCTGCCGCCACCATCGTCAGTCAGAACCATAGTTGCTCTCCAGTTTTTTTCTAAAGTACTTTGAAATTTTGAAATTTTGAAATTATCCTTGTTAATCTTATAGTGTTAGTGGTAGTGTTACAGTTCTTTCTGTAAACTTTAATAGTTAAAGTTTTTTTCTTCTCATGCCCTCTTTTTTTCTCCTGTTCTATGGCAGCCTTTTTCGGCTTGGCAGACTTAGCCTGCAGGAGAGGACTGGCAGTAAGTCTATCTCCATCTTGGACGGCCATTCCCAGTGTGTGCGCTGTTTGAGTCAGGCACACACTACCACAACAGTGCCAGGACTGCAAGCAGTTAACAGTTCACACGTGAAAGGCACAAGAGATTCAACTGAAACTTCTCTCATTCGAGAATATGATGAGACCTGCCTCATACCCAGAGCACTCCTTTCCCCTGTGCCAGCTGCTCCCTCTGGCCATGTCTGCCAGCTCTACCTCAAGAGACTTTTCCTCCAAGCAATCTAGGCAGAGAGCTCATTCCTCATGGAAAGATGAATCTCCCTCAGAAAAATGGGGGTGGTGGGATAGTGTACAGAGCGTATAGGATGAATTCGGGTTACAAAGGGCCCGGGTCCCCTCCAACAGGAGGAGCCGGGCTACAGAAAAGGGGGCATTCGCATCCCCCCAAAGGGGATGGGCGCACTACAGGCACCAACGGCACACCTGCATCTGGCAGCTTTCTACACTCAGCTACGCCAGGCTTGGCACTACCATTGTCTAGCGATGAGGACAAGGAGGCCTTGGTTAGTACCCATAGCCCAAGGCATTCATCCCCAAAGCAACCCCAATTACTACAATTACTACATGGTAACGTTGGCAAAATACACAGACCATATCTTTGAACAGCTTGCACTCTTTATTGACAGCTTATCTGACAATAAAAGAGCAAATCACAGCCAACATAAACGAGGGTATGCTGCTTTCCCATACGGCCCTACAAGTGGCCCTCGACACATCCAATACAGCATCACGATCAATTGTGACAGCTATTGTGATGAGAAGGCTTCACTTGTCAGGTTTTCCCCATGAGGTATAGGCTACACTAGAGGATCTCCCTTTCCAAGGATCAAAGTTGTTCGCAAACACCACAGATGTTCGCAAACACCCTCCACTCACTTAAAGACTCCAGGGCGACGCCATCTTGGCATACAAACAGAAGTCAAACAGAAACAGAACAGATAATTCAATCAAAGATACAAATCTTCACCCTTCAATCAAGCTCAGAGGCATTCTGACAATAGGAGGAGGCACTGACAAACTAGACAAAGACAGGCCTCTGATCAACCTGCTACGTCTCAGCCATCAACCTCGAGGCAAAAGTTTTGAAGATCAGGTCGAGAGTCCGATAATGCCCCCTCATCTAGAGCAGCCTCAAACCCATCTGCTATTCCATCACCACCTACTACCCTTCTACCACCACCGGTCTTCTATCACGACTAACAGGTGGGTGTTACGCGTCATGAAAGGTGGATATTGCATTCCTTTTTCCACTATCCTTTCTTCCCATTCATCCTCCCCATCCCTTTTCAGGGACCCATCTCCCAAGAGCATAGTACTCCAAGAGATTGAGCACCTTCTCCACCTAGTGGCCATAGAATCCTTATTCCAGCAATACAACGGCAGGTGGTTTTACTCCCATTATTTCCTCACAACAGAGATATCGGGAGGGTGGAGACCAATTCTCGATCTCAGAAGGCTCAATCAACACATATGATCTCAACACTTAAAGATGGTCACTCTAGCTATGATAATGCCAGCCTTAAATGAAGGGGATTACTTATCGACTCTCGACTTCCAGGATGCTTACTTCCATGTATCCATCCACCCAGCACATCAGAAATACCTAAGATTTGCACTCGGCAAGGCACATTTCCAATACACAGTGTTACCCTTGGGACTCTCCACAGCCCCAAGGGTCTTCTCAAAGATGATCGCTGTGGTGGCTGCGCACTTCCACAAACAAGGGGTATCCATATTTCCCTATCTCAATGATTGCCTGATAAGAGCAACCACAAGGCAAAAGGCCCACAAAGCGATCTCCTTAGCCATGTGTCTGTTCCAGACTCTTGGCTACAAATAAATCTTTCCAAATGCAAACTCCAACCAGCTCAGACTATAGAATTAATTGGGGCGTACCTCGACTGCGTCCAGGCAATAGCTTCCCTTCCCCAACAGAGATCTAATCTATCAAGGACCTTATCAAATTGCTCCAAACCAACCCACAAGTCCCAGCCAGAGCTTGCCTCCCATTACTAGGCAGCAACCACATTACACATGATACCGATTCAGCAGCGGCTAAGAATGGTATACAGACCTCATTATAATAGTATCAACAAACTGATTTCAATTCCAAACAAAATCAAACAATCACTGAACTTGTGGGCGGATCCAAAAAACATGTATGCTGGGGTTCCCTTCCATAGAAGTAACCCAGTGATGACAACGGACACCTCTCTTCTGGGGTGGGAGCCATACTCCAGTCCTCTCAAAGTCCAGACCTGATGGGATCCTCATGAACATTCCCTGCACATCAACATATTAGAACTCAGAGCGGTACGCTACTCATACCAGCACTTCCTACACCTGATACGGGGCAACACCATACAGATTTTTACAGACAATCAAGCCACAATGTATTACATAAACAGGCAGGGTGGAGCCAGATCTCACTGGCTATGCAGAGAGGCACTTCACCTATGGTCCTGGTGCATAGATCAGAATGTCCACAAATAAGCCTCTTACCTCTCAGGCAAGGACAGTCTTATGGCAAAGTTCAGCTCCAACCCCAAATGGGAGATGGATGACAACATATTACATATGATCTACAAATGCTTCCCCATGATGGACTTGTTTGCAACCAATGCCAACAGGAAGTGTCCACAGTATTGTTCACATATGCGCATTGGGCTACATTCCCTGGGGGATGCCTTTCTAATACCTTGGAACACACCCCTTCTATATGCAGTTCCTCTGATCCTGCTTCTTCACCAGGTGGTCAACAAGACAAGAGCAAATGCAGTGTCAGTAAAACCTATCACTCCATCATGGCTACGACAGACCTGGTATACTTACCTGCTCCACATGTCCACAAGACCTCCATGGCATCTCCTGCTAGTTCCCTATCTTCTAACACGGCAAGATGGTCAAATCTGGCATCCATCCATCCAAATCCTTCATCTCCAGGCATGGTTCTTCAGTGGCTCTCCTCAGAAGAAGCAACGTTTACAGATCAAGTCAAACAAATCTTAATAAGAAGTCGCAAAGTAACAACAAGAAAGTCTTACCTCGCCAAGTGGTGTAGATTATCCCTCTGGACAGGTCAGAGATCCGCAGATCCATCAACAACCCCACTATCCAATATATTAGAATACTTTTTAACACTCAGGTCTTTTGTTTAGTTCATTGAAAGTACACCTCATGACCATATCAGCCTTTCACCAAACCATTGAAAACAAATCGGTATTCACCCACCCAATAACTAAGCGCTTTCTAAAAGGCATTCAAAACACGTTCCTACCTGTTAGAATACCAGTTCCAACCTGGGACCTTAATCTGGTACTTCATGCTCTCACCCATGCACCATTCAAGCCTATGGCTACGTGGTCTATGCTGCACCTCTCAATGAAGGTGGCTCTGCTCATTGCTCTTACATCAGCTAGAAGGGTGAGGGAAATTGGGGCACTAACGGTCAACCCACCATTCACAACAATTCATAAGGATAAGGTGGTTCTGCAACCATACCCAAAGTTCTTACCAAAGATAGCTACCTCCTTTCATTGCAGTAAGCCTGTGGTGTTACCTATCTTCTTCCCAAAGCCTCAGGCCACTGCTGAAGAAGCTAAATGACACACGCGTGATGTGCGCCGCGCGATTGCCTTCTATTTGGAAAGGACAAGGATAATTTGTAAAACAGACAGACTTTTCATCTCCACTGCTGAAAGATCCCTGGGCATGCAAATCTCTACTCAGAGACTATCCAGATGGATTGTGGACTGTATCCGCCTGGTTTACACCAGCTTAAACCAGGAGCCTCCACTTCAATTGCGAGCACACTCCACGAGGGACATGGCAACCTCTACAGCTTACCTTAGCAGCATCCCTCTCTCAGATGTTTGCAGAGCTGCTACTTTGTCTTCCATGCATACCTTCGCCGGACACTGCCCTCGACACTTACCTGAAACAGGGCACTAAATTCAGACATAGGGATCTGATCAAGGTCCTACACAGCATTTAGCCGAAGCACCCACCTTCCCATTACGGGTACCACTCTATAGTCACCTAAGGTGGAGCATCCACAGAGGCTCTCCTCGAGAAAGAGAAGTTTACTCACCTTGTGCAGTAACGGAGGTTCTTCAAGATGGTTGTCCCTCTGGGATCTCCACCATCCACCCTTCCTATCCTCTGCTTCGGATATATTGATTTCTCCTTCTGGGGCACAGAAGGAACTGAAGGGACGGTTGGCTACACACACATGGTAGTAGCACTGCACATACCATCTGTCTGGCATGCACAGCCTACCTGAGGGCACTGCTACTGTAAATCTCCGACTAGGTGCACAGCAGTGCCTCAAAGTCCTAAGATGGAGCACCCACAGGGACAATCATCTCAAAGAATCTCCGTTACTGCACAGGGTGAGTAACCTTTTCTTTTTGCTAGACTGAAGAGCCCATTATTAAATATTTGTTTCCCATGTAGGTACTTAAAGACTGTAATCAAGTCACCCTTTAACATTCTCTTTGTTAAGCTACATAGATTGAGTTCCTTGAATCTGTCACTGAATCTGTTTTCTAATTCAATAATTCCTGTGGCAATTCTCTGAATTTATCAATATCATTCTTGAATTATGGACACCAGAACTGTATGCAGTATTCCAGCAGTGGTTGCATAGTCTGTTTATGCATTCAAGGATCATATTAGCCCTTTTGGTCATAGTGTCACACTGGGGAACTCATGGTCAGTTGATTATCCACCATGACCCCCAAATCCTTTTCAGAGTCACTGCTTCCCTGGATAGTCTCCCATCCTGGAAGTATGGTCTATATTCTTTGTTCCTAGATCCATAGTTTTACATTTAGCAATGTTAAAATGCATATTGTTTGCTTGCACCCAGCTTATCCAGCAATCCAGACTGCTTTGTATCAGTGACCTCTCTTCTTTATTTGCAGCTTTTACAATTTTTGTGACAGCTGCAAACTTTAGCAGTGATAATTTTGTTTTCTTCAATGTTACTAAGGCTACGTCTTCACTGCACATGTATTTCAAAATAAGCAATTTCGGAAGATATCTTATCTTCCAGAATAGCTTATTTCAAAATAGAGCATCTGCATACCAAAAGCACATCAAAACAGTGCTTAGCTGTTTTGAAATAGAGCATCCACACTGATTAGACGCTAACTCGCAGTTAAGGCCACCCAGAATCACTTCAGGCAGGGTATCAGATCAGCACTCACTTTGTGTGGCTGCTGCTTGAGGCTACCTGAGGCTTTTGCTTAAAGAGACCCCCTGTACAGCAGTGTCTCAGGCTTTGTCTTTGCCTACCTCCTTGAGAACAGCAAAGCCTTTTCCTCTGCCTGCTGTGGTTGCCCTTGCGGACACCTCAGCAATCTAGCTCTAGAGCTGGAGCTGTGTGCTGCAATTCATGCAGCAGTTTCTGCAGGCCGCAGCCCAGTCCCTGCAGGAACCCAACCCCCAGCTCCTCTGGGAGACCCTCCTTGGATCTCTGTGGGTACGGCTCATGCAGCTGGATCCCGCCCTCCCCTGCACACCACTGCCTCTGTTTTCTGGATACCAGTGCAGACTGGTGGGACCGGCTTGTCGTGGAGAAGAGGGGCGACCAGCAATGGCTCCAGAACTTCAGGATGAGGAAGAACACATTCCTGGAGCTCTGTGAGTGGCTCGCCCCTGCCCTCAGGTGACGGGACACTCACGAGACCCACGATCCCCCTACAGAAGCATGTCATCATCGCCTTCTGCAAGCTCACCACGCCGGACAGTTACCGATCCATGGGGAACCAGTTTGGCATGAGGAGATTGACCATCAGGGCCCTGGTCACACAGGTATGGCACTCTCAGACTACTGTCCCAGGAGGGAGGAGGGGAGGACTGCAGGAATGGGGTTCCCTAGGGAAGTGGAGGGTGGGGGTGCAAGCCCCCTTCCTGGGAGGTTTCTTCAGTCCTGCCCTCACAAAGCCCTGCCATGGGATGTGGTGAGTGGGGGGTTGCTCCTGGTGTGTGGGGGAGGGAGGGCTGGGGGACCTCCCAAGGGCCCTGGCAACCCTGTGAATCTGTCTCCTTCTACAGATGGTGAGGGTCATCCGCCTTGGTGATGTGGACGCCATCATCGCTGGCTTTGCTGACATGGGCTTCCCCAACTGCAGGGGGGCTATTGATGACACCCACCTATTCATCCAGGCTCCTGACCACCGGGCATCTTTACATTGACCGCAAGGAGTACTTTTCAATGGTCCTGCAGGCTGTCACGGACCACTGGGGCCAGTTCACCGACGTCTATGTTGGGTGGTTGGGGAAGGCACACGACACACACGTCTTTAGGAACTCTAGCGGGTTCCAAAAACTGCATGCCGGAACTTTTTTCCCCGACTGCACCATCAGGGTCAGGGACGTGGACATGCCCATCTGCATGGTGGGGGATGTGGCCTACACTCTCTTGCCTTGGTTCATGAAGCCCTATACTGGCCACCTCAACCTCTCTCAGGAATGCTACAGTGCCAGGCCCAGCAGGCCTGCATGGTGGTGGAGGGTGCCTTTGGCTGTTTGAAGGCTCCTTTCAGATGCCTCACCTGGCTGGGCATCGGGGAGCACAACATTCCACACATGGTGGCTGCGTGTTGTGTCCTGCACAACGTGTGTGAGGAGAAGGGGGAAACGATTCTGCCAGGGTGGGGGCAGAGACTGACTACATCAGCAGGGCCTTTGAACAGCCGCATACGGCTGCCATCTGGCAGGTACAACCGGGGGGCCGTGCACATCTGGGAAGCTCTGATGGAGAGTTTCTTTCAGGGAGACCAGTGACACTCTCCTCTGCGTCTCCCCACTAGGGGCCTGTGCATCTCCCCTCTCTGCCTTTCCTCCCTCACTCCTCCCTTCCCCCTTTCTGTTGAGACAATAAACAAACATTTTGTTTTGGAAAAAATACAGTTTCTGTTTCTTTTTATTTCTCTCTCCCCAGTCAAAGGACTTGCTGTGTAGATGCTCGTATAGTTATTTCGGAATAATGACCGTTATTCCAGAATACCTTTGCTGTGTAGATGTACCCAAAGGTGCCACAGGACTACTACATTATACATCGACACTTACTTTTATCAGTCATACTTCAATCTCATTAAAAAATTAAGTTTGACATCTTTTTTCCATAACCCCATGTTGACTGGTATTATTTTTATTACTGTCCCTAAAGTTTTTATTAATAGAGTCTCAAATCATTCATTAATTTTTTCTAATATATTTATTTAAGAAGGCTGGTTTTAGTAATGCTGGCCATGTATTTCTCTTTGTGTCCCTTCTCTTACTGATTTTCCACAATTCCTAGCTTCTGGTTTATTATTTGTTACTATAAACGTCCCCTTTCTTCCAATTGTTATCTTATACAATTATATTTTTTAAAAACCTTGTGAACCTGGTAGAACTCAGTGCCTGAAATTTGTTTGATACCTTTGAAGATTATAGCTGATCCTATCTGTTTGCCTTAAGCAGCGCCTCTGCTTTATTTTGAGGAATTTGGAACCAGAACTATTGTCTTTTGGTTCCAAAAACTGAGTTCAGGTGTAGTTGGTAGCTCAGAGAAAAACTCTTTTAACTAACCCCTCTTGTCAGCTTCTTATCCTTTCTGTGGCCCAGCCACTGGAGAACCACACGACTCATTCAGTGCAAAAATTAGCCCATTGCAGAGGACATGGGAAGCGAATTTCATGCATGCTAAGCTTCCACATGTGGATGAGCCATATTCTGGTCCCATGCTTCAATTTGAGATATGACAGTTAACTGATTTATGATGATACTAGGTACAACTGTTTAGTTTATGCAGATAGATTTTTATGCTTAACTGCATAACATAATCAAAGGTACCGTGTAATGTCCTTCAATACCAGCTGTACCGCTGTTTGGAAGGACGCTGTCATGGGATTTGTCATCACTGGCATTTTTTTTCTTTAAGTCACTATTGTCAAGAACGTATTGAAAGATCAAAACTTAGATGAATGTTTCTATTAAATGTATCTTTTATTGCTGCAATTCCTTAGCCTGCTGAAGTTTTAATTCTGGCTAAATAGTTGCTATTTCTTTGCCTTGTGGAATGAATATGTTAAAAAGGGCCAAATTCATCCAAGATGTAACACCACTTAAATCAGTGGAATTACACAGGGATGAATATAGCCTCAGATATTTGTGTTTGCACTTGTAATACATGGAAAGAAAGTTAGCTCCTTGTCTAACATAACTACTTTGCTCGGGGCATGGAAAATCCATATCCCTGAGTGATGCAGACCAAACTCCCTGTGCAGACAATGCTAGGTCAGTGGGCTTCTCACATCAACATAGCAGTACTTGCACCAGGGGAGAAGATCTCCTGTTGCTGCTGGCAACATCTTCATTAAATGCTACAGTGGCTCTGTAAGGCTAGAAAAAGACCTTGGACACTCTATGTTTTCACTAGAAAAAATGTATTCATTGCTGACAATGAGCATGTGCAGTAGTTACTGCTGCATCGGTGTAAAAACCAACTGCAAGTGTGGATGGGGCCAGACCACATTTAAGAGTTCTAGAAGCTGAGCACTGTTTGGAGCAAGGTAAAATAGATTTATGCTTGCTGGTGCCTGCTGGGTATCTAAACAGGTTTATTTATAAAAGTAAGAGTAAGTGCCATCATTATTTTACTTATGAAATATCACTGTGATGGATAAGGTAATTAGGGAAACTATTTGAAGCAATAATAAAGGGGCCTTAAAACCTTGCTACTATCCTTCAATAATGTGATACATTATATTTTTTCCAGTTCCAAAAGGAGATTATTTCAAGACTTGATTATTTCTATGATTAAACGCCTTTATTTCCTTCTTTGCTCATGTTAGGTTCAGACAGAATTTCAGAAAAGCTGGGAACGCTGGAGACTGGAACACTTTTATGTCCAGAGAGATAGCAGTATGAAGCCACTGAAATGTCCTGCCAGCAGCCTAAGTAGTGGAGGCACAGTGGGCAGCAGTCTCTATGCTGCCACTTGCCAAGCCACATTCAGCTAGAAATTCTACAGATGACGACAGAGATGAGCCAGATTACCCCAAATGAACTGTAGGAGGCACCTGAAGACCCGTGAAAACCCAGGCAAGCAGCTTAAAAGTGGGTGCTGGACCCAGAGACTTAACCTTCTGTTGATCATTGCTGCAGGCAGCCGGACAACGTTTTCTAAGGAAAGCAGTCTGCTAATTTAATCTACACATCAGAAGATAAATTGAGCATGTCTAAAGTAAGTTTAAAGAGTTTCTTCCTATTAATACACAAGGCCTCCAGGTGTCCAAAACTTAAGCAGTGCATTGATCCAGTCACAATCATAGGGTCAATGGCTTATTACTGTAAATGGGCCCGCTGAAATCCACTGATTAAATTAAAAGAATACAGAACATGACTATTGACAATAAACCACATTTGTACTTGTACTGGGAAAGGTGAGGCTGATATCTTTCTAAACATAGTGAATATTAGTGGAGTTTGAGCATATTTCTTTGTGGTGCAGTTACTGGACCACAACAGTTCAATGGCAAGAGCATCCCAAATCAAGGGTGGAGTTGTGCTTAACTGTTTAATGTGAACAGGCAAATACGGGACACCCATAAAGCCTACAGCTGGAAACAGTAATGTGCATGCTCTTAATTTTTTTTAACTCTTCATTTGAAGAAGTATGTTCTGTATGTACAAGGGGTCTATCTTCCTGTTAATGAGGTGTGTGTACTTTGTGTTAACATTGACTGTGATAGTATAATACCTGAACCTTGAGCTTTTACATAGCCCTCTGCACTGTTGGGTGGCTGTACAAAGAGTAATATGGATGGAAGAAATGAGTCACACCTCAGAATATTGACGATGGATATTGTTTTGTGAACAGTATGCTCTGTTTCATAGGTATACAAACATGCAAAAGTTAAACTGTAGCCATTACACATTTTGCCAAATTTTCTTCACTTAGAAACAGAATTCTTGGAGTTCTCTGTTGTATTCTCTTAGGGTACATCTCCACTAGCCCCCTAGTTCGATCTAGGGAGGCTAATGAGGGCAACCGAAATTGCAAATGAAGTGCAGGATTTAAATATCCCATGCTTCATTAGCATGTTCCCGGCCGGTCACCATTTTAGAAATTGACTAGTCCAAAGTAACTGCCCGCGTCTACACGTGGCAATGAAATGGGATTCCGAATTAAAGCCCTACATCGAATTAACTGTTAGTCCTCCTGGTATTTAAATCCTGCGCTTCATTTGCAATTTCGGTCGCCCTCATTAGCCTCCCTAGATTGAACCAGGAGGCTAGTGTAGACATACCCTTAGTTGCCTTGTCTCTTGCCTTATTTCCTTTTGGCATGATGTAGCTTCAAGGTTCTTTATTCATGATGCTACAAACTAAATGGAAACAATGAGTAGTCCTGTGGCACCTTAGAGACCAACAAATATATAGAATCATGAGCTTTCATGGTCAGCTTCTTAGTATTTTTAGTAACTAAATTTTCAGCTCTGAGGACAACTCCCTGCTGGACTTTCTCTTCAGTGCTGGAGCTATTTAAATTTATGCTCTTAATGAGCTTTTAGAATGTCACCACTTATAATGTTGCAAGATGAACAGAAATATTCATGTACACTCAAGGCTTTCTAAAAACAAGTGAATCCAATCCAGAGGCCCAATCAAGGTGCTAACTGCCTTCAGCTTTTGAAGTCTACAGAAGTTGAGGGTGCTTAGTGTTGTGAAGGGCAGAGCTTACATGAGAACAGTAAGAGAAGCTTAAAACCCCTCATTCCAGTTACTTGGGCCAGATCTAAACTACACACTAACTTCAGTGTAACTACTTTGCTCAAGGGGTTGACTAATCCACACCCCTGAGCAATGTAGTTTTAACAGTCTTAACCCCCCTCACCCTCCCACCATGTAGATAGTGCTATGTCAGCAACACAGCTTCTCCTGCTCATATAACTACTGCCTCTAGTGGAGATGGCATAGTTAAGTTGATGGGAGAGCTATCTCCCTTTGGTTTACAGCATTGGTCCCCAATATGGTGTCTACGGGCGCCATGGCACCCGCGGGGGCATTTCTGTGCGCCCGCCAAGTGCTTGGGGCTGGCCATGCTCCAGAAGTGTGGCGCATGCGCGGAGTCGGCCCCGGGTGCATGGGGAGCACCAGCCCCGGGAGCACGACAAATTGGCCACCCGGGCCCCGGGTGCGCTGCTATGGGGGGTGCCTGACCCAGGAGCGCGGCGAATTGGCCGCCTATGCCCCGGGTGCGTGGCACATGGGGACCTATCACTGACTTCAGCTCTTAGGCTATGTCTACACTCGCAGCTTCTTGCATGAGAAATATGCAAATGAGGCTAAGCGTGGAATATTGCCGAGCCTCATTTGCATTCCTAATGAGCCACCATTTTTGCAGAAGAGGCTTTTGCGCCAAAAGGAGCTGTCTACGCTGTGCCTTCTTGCACAAGAAAAACCCTCTTGCACAATGCCATTATACCGATTATTTTCAGGAATAACAGCTCATTAGGTATGCAAATGAGGCTCGGCAATAGTCCATGCTTAGCCTCATTTGCATATTTCTCACGCAAGAAGCCACGAGTGTAGACATAGCCTTAGTGATTTCAACTGTTTAGCCACCACCTAGGTTGGCAAAAAGATTCCAGCTTTCACTAGAACAGTGGTCCCCAACATGGCGCCCGCGGGGGCATTTGTTTGCGCCTGCCAAGTGCTGGTGGCTGTGGGGGGCGTCAGCCCCAGGTGCGCGGCTATGGGGGGTGCCGGCCCCAGGAGCGCGGCGAATTGGCCGCCCCGGCCCCCGGGTGCGCGGCTATGGGGGGGTGCCAGCTTTAGGCGCACGGCTATGGAGGGGTGCTGGCCCTGGGCAAGCAGCCCGGCAGGACGCTGGCTCCAGGCTTGCTGCAAATAGGTGGCCCTGCCCAAGGCCACACGGCGCATAGGGTTGCTGGCCCCAGGCACGTGGCTCATGGGGGTGTGGCATATGCGTGGCCCCGCGCCGGGTTCGCGAGTGTCCCTGCCCTCTGGCGCCTGGCATCTTCAAATGGTTGGGGACCACTGGTTTTCAGTCTTCAGCGGAAGCACTACAACTGAGTTGAGGAAAGTCTGTAGCGTAGACCTGCCGTTAGTGAAAGGACTTACTCCTGTTATCCTCATTCAGGCAAATTGCCTAGTGAAATCTGATAACTTTATGGCTGTGTCTACACTGGCACCCTTTTCCGGAAAAGGGATGCTAATGAGACACTTCGGAATTGCAAATTCCGCGGGGGATTTAAATATCCTCCGCGGTACGTAAAAGGGATGCTAATGAGACACTTCGGAATTGCAAATTTCGCAGGGGATTTAAATATCCCCCGCGGCATTTGCATGAACATGGCTGCCGCTTTTTTCCAGCTCGGGGTTTTGCTGGAGAAATGTGCCAGTCTAGACGGGATCTTGTGGAAAATAAGCCCTTTTCCAGAAGATCCCTTATTCCTACTTTCAAGGGAATAAGGGATCTTCCGGAAAAGGGCTTAATTTCCGCAAGATCCCGTCTAGACTGGCGCTTTTCTCCGGCAAAACCCCGAGCCGGAAAAAAGCGGCAGCCATGTTCATGCAAATGCCGCGGGGGATATTTAAATCCCCTGCGAAATTTGCAATTCCGAAGTGTCTCATTAGCATCCCTTTTACGGAAAAGGGTGCCAGTGTAGACACAGCCCAGATGTATCAGGACCAAAGGATCAGGCCTACTGTTTATGAGATTCAAATAGTCCTTCAGGCAAAAGTACTACTTCTTCCCCTACATTACACTTTCTTTAGTAATTCTCTGTCTCTTTGGTTGGGAATAAACTTTGGTTTAAGACCAAAACTTTGACTCCTGATTATCTTAGAGGCCTGCCTCTCTTCTCATGTTTCTTGCCAGTAGAGCCTATCTCAGAGGCAGCAAGGGGGAGGAGCAGAAGCCGGTGCTTGGGGGAGTCGGCTTAAAAGCTGGTTCATTGCACCACTGTCTCCATGGTGGGGGGAACAGGGAGGCAGAGGCGCAGTGGCGCCTAGCTTATACTACATTTAAACTGCAGAGCCACAGTGGGGGTAGCAAGCATCCCCCGCCATTGACTAATTGATGGAAATTCCATTGTCTGCTTGATTGGCTGATTATCCACAATGTAACATCCCTAGTATGAATGTCCTGAAGACAGTAGGGCCTTCTCAATCTTGGAATCAGATTCACAAAGGGAAAAAGTAATAATAGTACAACCAGCTCCCATAACCTTTATCTCAATGGTTATTGCTCTTAGAATATTGGAGACTCAGGTTCAAAGCCACTGTCCCCTCTGCCTAACTGTGGAGCTGAGTCTCCTGCCTTCCAGGGGAGTACCTTAACCATTGGGCTACAAAGTTATTCTCTCTCTGGTTCAATTAATTATATATTTTAAAGGGGGAACAGCTTCAACAAGTTCAGTGATTTAAGCTATCCAAGTGGGAGACTTACACAAATTTCTGCTTCACATCAGGTGGGGAAAGAATCAAACCTAGGTTTATACCAGCTCATTGGTAGCCTGGAAGCATATTGGGCAACTGGCACAGAGGTGAGAGACTGGAATCTCAGCTCCCCACACTGTCCTTCTTAGGCCAATGGAAATGCATGTCTGCAGTAGTTTCTAAGGTGGCCAACAATTTAGCTGTGGAACAGGAAGCTATGGCCAAGGAGGGGGAGATTGGGTGTGTCTGATTTAACTATTCTACTGTGGATAAGTTAGAGGGTCATTGAGGACAGCTTGTGAGACTGACTCTGTCCTGCTGATAAAGAACATCCACCTAAGGCGGTAGAAGACCGAGGCTACGTCTACAATGGCAAGATTTTGCACAAATATTTTTAACACAAGTTTTTGCGTTCAAGTATTTGTGCAAGAGTGCATCTACACTGGCACGTGCTTTTGCGCAAAAGCATCCGTTCCAGTGTAAAAGCTCTCTTGCGCAAGAAAGCTCCAATGGCCATTTTAGCCACCGCGCTTTCTTGCGCAAGAAATTCATGTTGCCTGTCTACACTGGCCTCTTGCGCAAGAACAGTTGCACAAGAGGGCTTATTCCTGAGCGGGAGCATCATAGTTCTTGCACAAGCACTGATTTCACACATGAGAACGTCAGTGTTCTTGCGCAAGAACTCCACGCCAGTGTAGACAGGCAGCATGTTTTTGCACAAAAGTAGGCGCTTTTGCATAAAAACATGCCAATGTAGACACAGCCCCAGAGTCTAGCCTCCTCCTGCCCATCCCACATTCCCACTCCAAAGAAACCAAAGGACCTGTCTCCCCGCTTTCCCCACCCCCACTATCAGATTATCGCCTAGTTCACTGGACTAGAGTGCTTGCTGAGAGGAACCCCGTTTAAATGCTTTATTTCAAGCAGATGAGACTTGAACCTGAGCCTTTGATATACCAAGTCAGGG